TCCCTTGAACTTCACAACAATACGACGAAAGGGCTTACCCTCAAGAAGACGCTGTTCCAGTTCTAACCGATCAGACGGATGAACAATATCTTGCAGGTGTCGATTTAACAGATTTGTCGTCGCCTGATCACCACCACCACCGCTGTTCTCAGCACCGTTCCCGAGAATTGTTTGGAAGCTGTAAGAGAGAAAATAAAACGGTTGCACCATAAAGGAGCACAGTCAATCGAAGAGAAACGTACTCTCCCACAACCTCGGTGATAAGGAACGTGTCAGCGGTTAGACGCAGGGTAAACTGGCACACGCTGGCCGGGACGCGGATAGTGGAATCGGACGCGTTCGGACGTTCCAGCGGTTCCACCACGGTACTCGTGACGGGATCAAGCGGACGACACATGCCACGAAATACGATGAACACCTTCGAATCGATCCCGTCAGCTGAGGATACGAATAGCAGACGAGAAGAGGCGGAAAAGATCGAGATACAGCTACTGGACAATAGCCATAGGATTTGAATAGATAGACTTATTCCAATGATACATCATCAAAATGACATACACTTGACCTCCGTGAAAAACAAGAGGGCAAACGAACCAAGAACGAAAACAGTTTTCATCCTATTCACAACGGAACTTTATTTATTGAAAAATATTTGAAAAATATAATCGAATACATGGTTTTACTGTTCCTTGGTGCGTTCCAAAAGCTTAAAAAGTGTCAAGAGTTGAAGAAAAGCAACCATGTAAAAAAACAGCACAGAGTATTACGATTAGGTGGTTTATAGTCTGTTTGCAAAACCCTTCGGATGGGAAGAGAAGTATCGCAATCTTGGCTTGGTTTGCTTTGCTTTGTTTTGCTTTAGCTAAGGAGGATGAGCCAGTTTTCAAAACAAAAGTACCAGATGTATGGAAAAATTTCCAGTCTATATATGTGTGTATATTGTGTCTGATCTTTATGGTTTAAGATGGCTAGAATGGGTGCGCGTGTATGTTACGGAGACAGACGATGATCACAAAAACGGTTAGGAACATGGTCAAATCACAATCTGCCCCGAATACATAAAAACTTTGACAGCTGAATCTCAGTCAATTAGGTCAATCCGTAAACTGTCGTATGCGGGATCGATCTCGGGTTGTTACCCTCACAATATACTCCGAGATGATCAACGGGGTCCCTAATGACAAAGTCATAAAATCAGTGCGTTCCAGATGCCGGTTGCTTTCCCACCAAAGCGAGACAGAAAGAAGAACCAACATCCAGGGACCGGACTTAATTTCTTTGCATTATAAGTCCGTTGAAGTTTTCAATTTTCTCTACAATCCTGCTTTCAACTTTCCTGTTTTCCTCCTATTGTTCATCCAAATGGGTAGCCAAAAGACATCAACCAATAGCGACGCATAGAAGTGCATGCTTATTGGTTCTTTAAACTGAAAACGAACTGAAATGTCTGGACCCAGACAAGTATGCAATATGTTATGTATATATTCGACTTTTTGGCGGTTATCTTGGAACCACCGATCAGCCAGTTATTGATACTACGAATTCAGATTGCGCATCAAGAAAAGTGAGTGACACACTGACACACTGTCACTGATACGAGAACCCGGATGTTGGTTGGCAATGTTAAATGCAGAAATAACTGGGCAAAAAAAACTGGGAATCAGATTCTGAAACACACCAATACGTACAAGTAACTGTGAGTTGAATACGAATTATCACTCGAGCCTAGTAGGTTCGTGGTAAGTCAGCATGAAACCTGCATGGAAAACCTAATTTGATGGGAGGCTTTCGATTAGAGTTGACTATGTTGTCATCGGTTGCTGTCAAACCAACAATGAATTGGCTGACTATCACCGAAGACGACACGTAAACACACATGAATTAGCAATTCGGTTTAATCCTGGTGATATGGTGAGCTGGTTGGTATCGTGGTAACACACACACACACACACACACGTTTTCCACGCGATGGGTTCGGGGTTCAAATCCCGGACGTTGGGACGGCGGATATGCATTACTGGTGAGCTCTAATAAGAGGGGAACTGAAGACCATTGCGTGCGAGTGTATGATTGATTGGATGAACTGAGGGTTGTGCGTGAAGATTAAGTCTGAAGGATAGTCAGTTCAAATCAATATCAATTATCCTACCCCACTACTACTCACAAGTAGCTGTGGGTTAAATGCGGACAAAAAAAACAGTTAGTCCATTCCGGGAAACAGTGACTGGTACGTTTTAACACCACAGGAAAACTCTGCAGTGTGACTTAATTGGCAGATAGTTCCTAATCCGGTGGTTTCGAATTGTGGGTGCGACTGGTAAAATAACGGGACTGACTGACATGAGAAAGAAGGGAAGGCCTATTTTATTTGACTGAACCCAACTCCTGACGAATCAGACATGGTCCCTGGGAGAAAAGATGTAGCATTCCGCGGGAAGGAGAAAGTGATCTGATTTTAGTGGGATGTGTTGTGACCTACCGTGGACTGCAACATGTTTATGATATGCTTATGATCTGTTTGATTGATTGGTCGGTGCTGCCTGCTACCACCCACGCACGCACTCACATAATGTGAACTACCTATAATACAATATCGATCGGCCCCAACCAATCAGGTGTTAGCATTGAACCGTCCACGCTGATTGATTGGTTGAGTGTTTGAATGTCCAGCTTGACAGCATAAAAATGGCACGTGACACTTGAACCGTTTGTCGGCAAAGCTGCCTACGTGTTTCTCGCTCCTGCTTGCTCATCGACCTACGGATCGGCTATAGATGAACCTAATACAACAAACATGTTTCCTAGTACATTGCGTGCTTACTTTTACCTACTCAAACGGAACACAACAGGATGCAAGCATTCGAATAAAAAGAAATACAGCACAACATACAATCAAACTCACTGTGAGGGACAAGATCACCGCAGAATTCAATGAACCGGTAAATTCCACCATCACAACCGTAAACACAATGCTTGGCGGGGATACGGGATCCGCATCGGAGAGCAATGGTAAACGTCCGAGCAATCACACCTGAACGGTGAATGCGGCGGGGATAATATTGATTAACAAGAGTGGTTATGGAATTTAAGTAAAGTGACGTAAAGTTAGAACTAATCGAAAAATAAACAATCAACGAGTGGAGATAGATTAACAATCTATCCAGTTCGAACGGGACGAATGGGAAAAAAGAAGTAACAATTCTGATTGGTCGGCTGAGTTGTGCACATACGATATTCTGCCAGTTCATGGTCTTAGTCCGGGGTCCCACTATAGTATGTGATTGCACGGACTGCTCGATCGTACGTCAACGACCGTACCCGGATAAGATTTTTGACCGACGAGTAACTGAGGACCAATGAAAGGTTTCGTTGAAGCGAGATTCTGTGGTTACCCAATCGGGTTCTGCTGAATAGCAGACGGGGGAAAGCCCCATAGTCATGAGGACCTGCTGTTCAGTCATGGAAACCGACAATCAAGCCCCGGGGCATCGAATGGTGAACTAAATCGAGGCCCTGCTAGGTTA